GCCAGATAGCTGCAGGGGCCGGCTGAAGGCAGCACTGCCTGGCCCTGCCTGCACCTTGTCCCACCGCCAATGGCTGCCCTGCTGCCGTGAGGCAGGGGCATGCCCCCTGGTAAGGAAATACAGGTGCAGCAGGTACAGGAATATGTTTCTGGCTCCACCCCAGCTGGAGAGCATCTCAGTTTTCACTGCAGAAACACCGACGTGGAGAAGCCCTGTCCAAGAGAATGGAGCGGGAAACAGGGCTACGAGTATGGCCATTACATGGGCAGGAGGAGCACTACCCTTCTGCTCTGGCACGGCTCTTCTGTACTGTAGGATCAAGATCCAGACTCATGCCCTGTCCAGAGCACACTGTGCATTTCTTCTTTTGCAGCTTTTAAGAGGTCTTCTCCTTTTCACATGATTGTATTCGTATCTGTATTGTTCAAATCCTTTTTGCACCATTATTTCTCATAAACAGAAGCTCCAGGTAGCATTTGGCACTGAATTCCATCACTGATCTTGAAATACTTAATTACTGCAGAATTATGTAAAGAAACCTATATTTGGCCCTACTGCTTCTCAGTGCATACCTGCTGTGTGGGTAGGCAGGATTTAAATTTCCAGAAGGACCAAACCAACGCTGGGCTCATTTTAAAACATGATCTGATTTACCAGAAAGAAAGGCAGTGCAAGGCAGGATGGGCTTTGATCACGCCTAATTATGGAGTGTAATATTGGGTACATGGATACAATATTGCCATGGGTGGCTTTTTTTGGAGCAGAAAAAAACCAAAATTTTCCTTAAAGAAACAGCTGTGTCCTGCCTGCAGCCTGCAGAAGAATGGCATTAGTCACGTGCAGTCCAACACGTAGCACAGTTGTAAAGTTCGCTCTATGAGACTGACAGGAGCTATTCATATCGGCCCCCTCCACCATCTGCCTGAATGGCAGGCTGCGGGGTAGCAGCAGCCCCCCCTCGCCGCCTCTGCGCGGCCTCAACACTTAGTGCCTGCTCAAAATCTGTCCCCAAGTGCAGAAAATCGGGGATTGAAAGCAAGGAGAGGATGTCAGTTAGGTCAAAGCAGACTGTCAAGAGAAAAAAAAAGGGGGGGGGGGAGTGGAATGAGTCAAAGCTTCATCTGGTGGGAGTGCCAGGTTGCTTTTCTCCTGGGAGCAGAGGTGTTGGCTTCGACAAGGTTATGAGGAAGGAGAGCAAAGGGGATGACTGGACAGCATGAGTCTGTAGACAAATCCTATATGCGCCCTTCTTCTTCCCTCCCTGAGCTTAGAGGACTCAGCTCAAGGGCAGGACCAGGCTGTGTGAGGGTTAGTGCCAGGGTGAGATGACCATGCTGTTGTGTGCAGTGCCTGTGTGCTGGGGTGTGGGAAGGGATGCTGAGGGCTTTGGCTGCACCCTTGTGCACACGCTGTCAGGCATCCCTTGGGGCCTGGTGGCAAGGACCATAGTCCTGCAACCTGGTCACCATTTGCCCGTCCTGGATACCTTTCAGGTCCTTGGACTGGGAGCCAGGTTGCTAGCTTTTCCCACACCAGTTTTCTCAAAGATTAATTTCATTCCCAGAAATATTTATTAAGGTATCACAGAGGGGTTTTTTTTCCCTTTAAAATGAACCTGCAGGTCCTGTGATTGACAGGCTCACATCCCAGGCTAGGGCCAGATTCTGATAACTTGTTTGGAGGCCTGAACATCTCAGTGTCCCCCCTTTCAAGGTCATACTGGATGGACAAGGATTCATTTTCATCCTATCACCTGTTTTTCCTTCCCATTTCCAGACACATCTTTCCTGTGGCAGAAAATCCTGCTATCAGTGCCTGAGGTGTGTGGCTCCTACAATGCATGGTTACTACAATCCTTTGCTTTGCCATTGCATTCACTCCTAAGGTCACGCAGTTCTTGTGGTATGATGCTAAATAACATCTTCTATTTTTACGCCATCAGTGCATCATTAACATCCACTTCGCTTGTTGTCAATAAGAAATAAAAAATCAGGACCCCTGAGGAAGAGTTTTAGTAGTCTTCCTCCATCTCAGTGGTTCTCCTTTCTGGGACAATACTTCTGGTTTCACCATGAGCCATCATCACCTCCCTTCAGACTCCTGGCACTTCTCAAAAGCCTTCCTCTTTTTCTGAGTGTGAAGGCAGAGCAGGGGCTTAGGAAACAGCAGATGAGTGAAAAGATAAAGTGCAACTGAAATACTTTTGCTTTTGTCTGCCCTTAATGGGTAAAGAAAAGGAATGATTCACAGATGGTCCATCTGGGAATTTTCTACCTTATTTTCTTACCTTGTTTCAAAGCGATTGGAGCCCCATTTTCTCTTTCCTTGAAAGTGCATATTCATTAGGCTCAACAAGGAGTTGCAAGATTTTAAGCCAAATGGGGAAAAATAGTTGAAATTTAAAAAAAAAATAATGGTAATTTGGTCTCCCCTCCCCTCTCTTCTCGTGAACAAGCAAAATCTCTACAGAATTTCTAAAGAAAATATTTTTACCATTGTTGAGATGTCTTGTTTTTCAAGTAAAAATTTGAAACGTTCTCTGTTGGGTTTTTGTTTTAGATTAACGGAGATTGCCTAGTTTTAACACCCATGAGGAAAAGATGAGGATAACAGTGTTTACCATACAGATGTGCACCTCAGACAGACAGATACCCCAAATCAGGGTGGACAAGAAGCCCCTGAGCGCTGGTTTCAGTTCAGGCCTGCCCAGAAAGTGTACCATGTAATACATAAAGTTGTTATCTTGACAGCAGGATGAACCCTGTGACAACACCTGTAGCTCAAGCTAGGATGAAAAAAAAAGTTCTATTTCAGGTGAGGAAAAATAATTTTGAGTAAACTAATGTCAAAACAGTGACCTCTGTACCATCTCTGCACCACTCAGCTATTCATTGAGCTGCTCTTTGCTTTACAGAAGATTAAAATAACAGCAGTGATTTGGGTGTTCATGCTATTTGAACTGCTCAGAGCACTCAAAGTGGAGGGATCCCTTTCCCAGTTAATGGCATGCATTATGGTTAGTGGGTCTGAATGCACACTCCAGGCCAGTCTGGTGTTGGAATACTTTTGCTGACTGGCGCCCTCAGCCTGTAAATAAGCTGTGGGATGTTTTGGTGTGCAAGTATCTAAAGATTGACATCACTTTGAATGAGTGACACTTTAAAAACACCTCCCAGGTATTTTTGTGCAAGAAAATCTTTTCTCTCTCCTTTATTCAGTCTTGAAGGAAATACTACATGTTTAGGAGTGGCCTGGATGCAGTCCTTTGAAGTGAAAGGATTTATTCCTGTGCTTTGCTTAAAAAAGCAGGAGTTAGAAAACTTCACATACCAAAAATTCCCAAGAAGACAGCTGTCAGGAGGTGACATGTCGGATATGAAGTGGCTCTCCAGCTGGTCCCTGTCTGCATGCTGGGGAGGCATGTGGAGACATTTTTTCAATTGCTGTACTAGTTTGACACATTCACAGTGGAAAATGATGTATCATTCTTGAGCCTTTGGTTGGTGGACACTTCAAAGTGCATTGGATCCTCGGAGAGGAGTGCCCTATTGTTAATTGTTCCTTTCACATGTACATTGGGATGAACATGGAGAGAGCAGCGAGGAACAAAAGGGCTCCGGTGGCCTCTAAGAGAAATGTGGTGCAGCTCAACCTGAGTCTGACCTTGAAAGGGTGGGTTGCTCTGGTTTTTAAATCCTGCTTGCCGATTCATTCCCCTCTGGCTCCCAACCGTTACCCAGTTGCAGGGGAATGGTCTGCTGGAGCAGTGAGCACAGCGGGGCATGGGGAGCCCCTCTACCACTCCCATGTAGTGCCCAAGGAGCCATGTCCTCAGTGAGCATTCCTCCAGGAGGGGACAGGCAAGGCTGGACTTTGGGGGTTTGGAAACAATTTCTGCAATAGGTGTGTTAGAGGTATGCTGGGTTTCACTTAACCTCCAGTAGGCAGGCAAGCCATATACTCTCTGCTCAGTCTAACTGACCCACTATCCCTCATTTTCAGAGCGCAGTCCAGTGGTCTTGAGCCCCTATGACTGGAGATACGCATATATGTATATATACATACATTGCATGAGTTTCCCAGGCCTCTGAGGACACAGGTCATTAACATCCTGAGACAATCTTTTGGTCCCAGACACCTGCCCTATGTCTCTCCGCTTTCCCTCTCATCCCTTGGACAGCCAGCTAGCTCTACTGGGAGACTGAACTGTGCAACGTGGTGTCCAGGTTGGGTTCAAAAGCTCAGGCACAGGAGGCAGTTTGTTCCTGCAAACAGAGATTTGATCTCTTGGGTGCATCTCTTTCAATGAGCTAAACAAAACCTCTCCTTTAGCCTCAGCTGCACAGAAGGTTCTGTGCCGTGTCACAGAAAGGCCAGACCCCAGCTGGCGCATCCTGAAATAGATGTTCAAGTAGGTGACTGGAAATTGCCACTCAACCCTCACCAAATCATCCAAAAGGAGAAGCTTGCACAGAAATTTGAATGCTGGTGTGAGGTAGATGATAGAGTGTGCAGGCAGGGCTAGCTGCTCCAAGTCTCCTAGGGAATGAACTGCTTCTGAAGTAGAAACTAGGAAGAGAGAGGCATGTCTATGGTAGCAAATCAGCCACGATGTTACAGCTCACCATGGTGTCAAAGGCTCTGCAGCACATTCTGCTGCAGGATGTTCTGGCCCCAGGGTCTTCCTAGACCTGAAACACCTGAGCCTGGGCACCAGCACATGAGGCTCTGGCAAGACTGGGAGAAACTATGAGGAGAGTGATGACTGCACTGGGTGCACCAGTATAGGTACACTGAAGAGTCGTCCCTGAGGCCTTTGCCCAGAGTTCGATATAATGGCACAGTCTGGATTTTGTCCTTCTCCAAGAAAAATCAGAATAATATAGAATCAGCAAAATAATCATAAAATGTAGCTGTTTTCAACCCTCAGTCCTTAGGTGCTTGATGCCTCATATTTGATTTGCAAAATGGCTAGGACTTCAGTCCTTGCTTTCTCTAGGGCATGAATGTTTGGTCCAGCATCACCCTGACAGTGCATGTACAGGTCTATACTCTCTCCACTGTTCCCATCCACAGGGTGCTGCAGTCTGGAGAGCAGGAGTAACAATGCTGCGGACATGGGAGGCAGCAGGTCCCAGGCTGGCACACAGGCAGTCGGCATGTCTGGCACACACTGAGGGCAGCCCTTCTGCTCTCCTCTTCCTCCAGCTCTTAGTTTTACTGTGCTATTAAGTTATTGCCACCACTTAGGGACAAGCCTGCAAGAAGGTAGAGGGCTCACATATCAGTAAAGGAAGCAGCTCAATTAGCATTTCACACGCCTTTTCTTCCCTCTCTTCTTACCTTCCCTGCAGCAGGCATGCTTTCCCCTTAAAGGATTGTCCTGTTTCTGCTCCTTGCCAGCGTTGGCAGGGTGACAGTAGTCGAGTGTGCAAACTTGTGCTATTGTCCCCAGGCCAGGGGGAGTCATGGAGACCCACTAATATGACACAGGAAAATGTTTGCTGATGGCAATTCTATGGGCTTTGTCTAACTCTTTCTCCATCATGACGACTCGATTTAAGTCTCTAACTGTTTGACTACAGATGCAAGAGTACTATCCAACTCCATCCTTTTGTCCGGGTAGTTTGAATGGGTAATTCAGCTTTTGTGTAACTCAATTGAGGGGGCAAACATAAAGACAAGATTCTTGAGCGCTCAAGCTCCCTTTCCATGGATATCTGCACATCTCTTTAGAGATTTGTTCCTTCCCTACCTTTTTCTGACATCATCCTCCCCTTGAAAAAAAAAAAAAGGCTGTGATGGGGAGCAGTTAAAAGTAGGCTAGCCCGGTCCCCCGTATTACATTGTCCTGTGCCAATGAAGCATGGTTAGTATCAGCCCCCAGACAGCTTTGGGGAGTGCAGAGAAAAGGGTGCCTAAACTTTCCTAACTCATCCTCAACATTTTCCCTTTGGATTGTGTCATTTTTTAAAAAGAAAGGCCTCAGTAAGGGTGAAGAGGATAGGGAGAATGGTAGAAACCGCAGGGAAATGATTGTATTTATTAGCTGTCTTTCTGTGGCTGTCCCCATGGTGACAATTTGTGATGGCAAAGAATGCGAGGAGGGGAGGCTGATGCCTGATTGGGATGCTTTGTATTTGGCAAAGTGGCTTCTGATTGGCCTGGGAGAGCCCCGAACTCGACGGAGTCGATATTCATTCAGCTTGCTCAAGTGCTTGCTAAACTGCATCCAAACACTGGCAGGCCCTGGCTGCCTCTGCCGAGGTTGGCAGTGGGTAACCTGCCTAACGAGATTAGTGGGAAAGGGGAAGGGGCTCTTCTCTGCAGCGACACCGCAGCTGCCAGCACCGGTGAGAAAAGCCGCTGCGCGCCGGGTGAGTGTCCGCACTTGCTTACAGGGAGGCGGGAGTGGCCGCCCAGCTTCTTTCCACCTAAGCGCTATCTAACAAGATTAGGCACCGGGCTGGAAGGCATTTGTGAGCTAGATGCCATGCTGGTGTGTTCTGGGGCAGCTGTGTGGGGTGGTGGGCTGCAGGCAGGAGGAGGCTCCAGTGGGAGCTTGATGATGGACAACTTTGTGCGGCTGAGAAGCTTGTCATGTTCCCCCACCCTCCCTTCGTTTGCTTGGGGCTGTTTGAACCAAGGTTTCCCACTCTTAAGTCTGCCCATCGTGTTTCACAGGTTTGCCAAGGTTTGCCTGAAGGTCAGTTATAAACGTTTCATGGGAAGCTTTACACGGCACATGCAGTGAGATGGCATCAGACAGCGAGGTTAAAACCCTACTGAACTTTGTCAACCTGGCCTCCAGTGACATCAAAGCGGCTCTGGATAAATCGGCTCCCTGTCGCCGGTCAGTTGACCACAGGAAATACTTGCAGAAGCAGCTCAAGCGATTTTCTCAGAAGTACTCCCGGATCCCACGGTGCCACTCCAGCAAATCCACTGAGTGCGGCTGGCGCAGGGGGGCAGAGGACCGGGGCCGTGGACCTCCACCCGAGGCACCTGACCCCAGCCCCCACGGTGGGGCTGCTGCAGAGAGGGTGCTGCAGACATCAGGGATGGAGGACAACCTTGCTAAAGAACGGGTTTTGCAGGAGCAAAACCCTGAAGCCACCAGACCAGACCAGGTGCCCATGAGGAAGCGACAGCTCCCTGCCTCCTTCTGGGAAGAGCCACAGCCATCCCAGATCCTGCTGGCCAGGGCCTGTCCCACCAGTCCCGAGGGGCTCCCGGCCCCCAGAAACCCTCCTCCCTCTGAGGGGAAGAAAAGCAAACGGAGCCCGGACACAGCTGGTCCAGAGAGCCCCCCTGAGCCTACCCCACATGCTGGCGACAAGGACCCTGCTGGCATCCTGTTGGGTCGGGTGGGTTCCTGGACCTACTGCCCCTGCCCCTGCCCTGGGCCAGGGGTGTACCAGCCCCCTGGCACACTGTCCCAGTCGCCCTTCCTGGGGCTGGGGCTGTGGAGGAAGAGTGCAGCCACACTGTCGGCGGAGGTGCCACACTTCTGCAAGGAGGCTGATGGCATGGGACAGAAACTCTACAGGCCTGTGGTTTTGAAACCCATCCCCACCAAGCCTGCTGTACCCCCACCCATCTTCAATGTTTTCAGCTACCTTTAGCTGGGGGTGTTGGAGTCACGCTGAACACCACAGCTCCTGAGAGCGGATTGAAATGTCTGGTTGGGCACCAGGCATGAGCTGCTGGCAGCGTGAAGCAGCAGGGGGAAGGAGGATGGCAATCATACCCTCTTCCTCGTGGTCAGGCTGGAGTGAATTAGTAACTGTTGGAAAGCTACTCAGGCTCCCCTCTCCTCTCAGTATACAGGTGTAAACTGAGAATAAGCCTTACAAAGCTGGTGGCATGGAACATGAGTCAAACCAGAGCTCTTTCATCGACGGGCATTGTCTGTGCTGCAGAGAGCAGGGCTGCGGGTCATTCATAGCCACGCTTGTAACACCTAGGAGACCTCCTCCATGTGGGAAGATCTTTCCAGGTTTGCCCTGCAGCAACAGCAGTGAAGTGAAATGAATTAAACCCATTCAATGAGTTTTTGTATTTTAAAGTAATTCCAGAGAAGTCAAGATATTCAGGTCACTGCCTTTTGCATGCAAGACACTGGAAGGACGGTATTTAATGTAGAAACCATACTTGTGAATTGATTTAAGCTCTTCTTGCATGTAAATACTGAGAGAATTAATAGAAAAAATATGGGAAGAAAGGAGGTAATTTTATTTTGGAGATTCTGCTGATGCAGTCTGTTTATTTTTGCCCCACTGGGTAGGACACAGGTTTGATTTGCAACTGGTGGGTAGATATGAGGGCTGAAATCTCTGCCTATTAGAGTGATATAAATCAAAAGCAATTTTTCTGGGGCTGGGAAATTAGCTAGTGTTAAGCTGGTGCAAATGGAAGCAGGATGAATTTTCACATCAGGATTTGTTCTGCATCAACAGAACAAATGAGAAATTGCATTAATTGATTACAAACCCATAAAATATGATATGAATAAAAAAGCATATAGAATACACTGCTTTGATTTCTGGCTCACAGATGTCTTTTATTTTGCCTGATTTTACGATACTGTCACAAGACCTATCTACAAATTATTTGCCCAGTAATTTCCAAATTATTTTAACAAGTTGGCATTGAAGAAGAAGTTAATAGGAGATTTTTTTAAACTTAGATTTCTCTTAAACTCTGGGGTAAGTGGAGCTAAGGCACAGAACATGAGATCTGAAAGGTTTAATATTGCAGCCTTATGTATTTATTCAGTTATACTGGGGTAAATCACTGAGGTCAAGAGAAGTGTATTGCAGGGCTGGGGGAGGGGAAGAATGGACACCTGTGATCTCCCAGGGCCTGCTCTTATTGAAGCTAATGGAAACTTCTCCCAGGATTCAATAAAAAGTGGCCTTATTTGGCTTGGTCTCTGGCTAACATAGCTCCCTGTGACCCTCGGTACCTCTGTAAGGGGAAAACCAGTCAATGCTTCCTTTGAGTGCGTTGCAGTAATGAAAAATTTATCATCTTCAGCAATTGTAGAGTATAATTTTTGATCTTCTCGTGGGGCTTGGTGTTATATAACCAGGTAGCAACTTCTGTTAGGATATGAACTGTTCTTAGGCTAAAAATAGCTAATTCTTTTCCCAACCTTATAGTATATCCCACTAGTGTTTTATTACAGAAAAAAATGGCTGTAATGTGTTAGTGCAGCAGGCAAAAAGCAGAAATGGATATGGCTTTCATTGCTTTCTGCCTACCACCAGCGCTTAATATATGTACCAAGCTTGTATAGATTATCCTATAGGAGAGAGAGCACGAAACGGCAGCACATACCTGCAACTGCATGAAAGGTGCCAAAGAGCTGATCTAAGGGTTCAAGACATCAGGTGAGCTTTTGGTCCAGAAATGAAGATATGAATACACTTAGATGTCTTTCCCTTTTTTTCTGTTTGGGAAAAAAATCCATGAAGAAACTCTGCCTCTCACCATGAGACATTCTAACAGAAACCAGAGGCAGTACCCCCATTTAAGTTAATGGGAGGAGAACTATTTCTGAATTTGCAGGATTGTAGACAAGGAAATTTTTTTACATGGAAATACGGGTGCTTTCTCACACCAATAGTCCTGTGTCACTGTTGCAATCCAGATGAAGTAAGATGCTGAACTCTGTCTCAGTGCTGTCAGTGTAGAGGAGCCTTCTTGGCGTTGATCTGGATTTCCATCTGGGTGACCAGAGAAATTCATGGAAAGAACCACGAGTATTGCAGTGACTGCTGTAGGCAAATGTTCCTGCTCGAATTGAGAAGGGAAATTTGAAAGTGCTGTATATTGCACCAGAATATTGGTTTCTATCAAAATTAAAATACTTGGCAAAATGGGTAGCCTCTGTAGAAATTTTATTTCTGGAGAAATTCATAGAAATAAGAGAGTTAAAGTCAAATTTCTACATTTCAGGTATTAAATTCTTTTCTATTTTTTTCTTCCTTTAAACTGTCTCTTATTTGAATGTATGTTGCTGTACATTTTCTATGTAATAGAATAGCATGTTTTTAAGTTATGATGAAGCATTGAACAAGACTGTTCCAAATGACCTCTGACACAGAGATATTTATTCACTTATCCTCAGATTTAAACTGATATTACTTTTAAAATCCTTTGTGACATGGAACTTCCCAGCCCAGTGCAGGCAGTGGCACTTGCTGGGGCTCTGAACTGAAGCAGCAATGGAGTAAAACACAAATGAACAGAAGACAATTGTTAAGTATATTCAAGATTATTGAATGGGGATGTGTGAGATTTTCCAAAAGGTTTGCAAAGTATAGCAACTCTGTCTGCTCTCTAGCAATACTTACTGTTCTCTCATCCCTGAGATAAACACCAAAATTATCAAGTGTTCAAGCTTGGACTGATTCAGACTTTTCCTGGCTATTTTTGTGTTTAGTTGCTCAATATTGCTATTCAGGACAGCTGATAGCCCTTCAGAATCAATTTATTTATTCATACTTTGTTTGAAAGATGGAAACAACATTCAAAAGCTGTTATTTACTACAGCAATGCAAATTTAAACTGTTAAAACCACAATACCTGATACAAATAAGGGGAAGGGAGAGGTGGATGAAAAAGCTTTCATATAAAATGAAATAAAAAATCAAAAAGTGCACAAGAACATCAAGTGAATTGCACATTACAGTAAAAATTGTACAGTAACCTGGTCGTGAAATATTTGTAGAACTTTTCACATAAAGTCATCATCTCTGAAGGAGTCTATCTATCACATTCAGTAAAAAAAAGCTACTTTTCCTTGCACTAGAACTACTGATCTGCTTACAAAGCCTGGTTTATTTGGGTTCTGGGGTATTTGTCTTTTCACAGTAACATGTAGATGCATTAAATGCACATTGAATTTGTGCAGATTCAGTATTGCACACAAAATATCTCAATGACTGGAATGGAGAGGTAGCAGGCTCCATTTCAGTGCAAATAATGTAAACTAGTTGTGTGAAGATCAAGCAGAAATGATTCAGTAACATTGTAATTACCAGATTTCCCCTCTAACAGACTCTCCTCAGCTTCTGTTTGCACTGTGCACTTTTTCTTCCTGCAGTTGCAGTACATACCCATCAGACCAGTGCTCTCCAGCTCAGTGAACCTCCTCATCAGTACAGATGGTTGAAAGCAACCAGGACATGGGTCTCCCAATAGAGATGAAAGTTGAAAGAATAAATGGAATTTCCATATTTGCTCCACTCAAACCCAGTCTCAACTTCTCCAAGGACAGAAAAAGATACTGCAATCCACAAGCCTTTTGTGTACGTAAGAGTGTTGGCTCAGGGGAAATTTCCACTTTGGGATAGGTTATGAAATCCCACCCCTGTGGTTATACATGCAGTTGGTGACCAAATTCTTATACTAGCCAGCGCCTCCAAGGCTGTCATTGCACACTAAACAAGCACTTAAGTAAATGATCTTCACCAAGCTGTGTCTATATCCATCACCCTCTATGACTCTGTCAAACTCATTTAATTTCAAGGAATTTTCTTCTGATTGATATCAATATGAGTAAGACCCAGACCTTCACTGCTCAAGCCCCATAAAATGAGAGGTGCACAAACTCCATAGGTAATTTTCTATTAGGCCCTTTCTAAAGGTCCTACAGGGCCTTTATTGGCAAAACTGGTCTAAAGATTTCCTATCCTCCATCCCTTTCCCTCTACCCAGTATTTTTCCAACCTGAGACCATTCCCTGTTCACACTGCAGGAGACAAAGGGTAGATCTTAAACTGGTAGTAATGGAAGCCACTTGACAAAATTTCAGCAGTGGGAGAATCTCACCTGACTTTCCAAAATGTTACAAGATCACTGTTCAGTGTGAATTGAAACTGTTGGGTTTTCAACTTCCTTTGCATTTGGTAAGGAGACAGCTGCTGTAACCAGTTCTGCTCACATCCTGTCCTACAAGTGCTGAACACATTTCACACAAAACCATTGCAGAATCTGAACTCATGTGCCCAGACTTGTTTTGTGCAACACACATTTACTCCTGTGTTAAGGTAGAAAACTCCACACAAATAAAACTTGGTGCAATGCATTTTCACTATTTACATTTATATCTGATTCCATGGGTGGCATGCAGGCCAACAAACAAAACCAGATCTTTCAGGTCTCTGGTGGGGAATCCAAATAAACCATGGTGCACAGCTCCTTAATAATCTAAGGTAAGAATGAGTGTGTGTCTAGCATAAGATCCACAAAGACGTAGTTCCAAATGTAGGCTTTTCTATCCTTATTTAGGTGCCTAGTGAAAAATAAGGCACTCATCAAATCAGTTCAGCAAGTCACACCTGTCAACTGAGCTGTAGTCACTTCCAATAACTGTTCGTGGGCTTTTTGGCCTCCCCAGCTGTGAGGGAATGTGACTTGTTAAGAACTTCACTAAAAGAATTTCACGGACAATTATAGTGGTTCAGCTGATAAATGGTAACTTGTTAAGCTGCCATAAATCAGCTGTAGATCTGAGCTGGAAATAGGTGACCTAATTTTCAAAGAAGCTGAGATACTAACTTTCAGTGTCAAAGGGATCTGATAGATACTTCAAACCTCTAAATTCAGGAAATTCAGAGCTAAATACTAAGACATTTATTCTGCCTCAGTAATATCTGACACCAAAAGTGATCCCATTGGCTTAGTGGAACTACACCTGGTGCAAGCAACTTGACATTGTTTAGGCACCTGAATAAGGATTTGGAAGCCTAATTCTGGGTATTTGTTTTCATAAATCTCAGTCTGATTTCCATAATTTTGAAATAATCTCTCTTCCAGTGATGGTATTGTTATAGCTAGAGGTCCAAGGAGTAACAGAGGCTGGGCCTTGTAGGGAACAAGATCTCCTAGAGAAGGAACAGATAAAATTGGTTTATCAGTGTTGCATCTCCCTCCATACCTCACCTCTCTCCTTCACATCACTTTCTGCTCCTGTTCCCATAGGGCTTTGCTCTGTCCTGACACCAGATCCATGACAAAGGAAAGCTACTGTTTACAGTGAAGGCACTTCTAATTTATATCCCACCCTCCCCCCAAAACAAACAATACCAGAATTGCCTTCAAATCCCCAGTCTAGAAAATGTTCTCAAGCAGAATTTAACTTTCTTCTCACTGCAAATGTAATGCAAAATGAACTGTATTCACTATGTGCAAATACAGTTCTTACATCCTTCTTAAATAAACCTTTCCTTGACTTCTATAGGAACCAGCATTTCTGTATTTCTATTAAAAGTCTGAGATTTGAATGTTCAGAAATCAGGTATTCAATAAGAAAGGTCCAAAAAATGAAAGCAAAAGTGTTACCAAGATGATATCAAAGTATCAGAGAATTAGCAACCAGCACACCTAGCAGAAATCCAAACAGTAGAATAGAAACTGAAATTAAAATCTCAGTTGGTGAAGGAAATGTGTTTGTTTTCCCCAATATGTTGACTCTTGACAATTTCTCAATTTTGATTACAGCAGGGATGCTAAGCTCCACCACAACCCCAGAATACCTTTGAATTCACTGATACTTGCTTCAGCACTACTCGTTTTTCAGTGTTGGTTGTCTTTTTTTCTGCAAACCAAGCTTTGAGGTGAATCATGTGTTTTCTCTTGGAAAACCTAACAGCAGTCCTGTGTTTAGTTCTCTGTCTCCATCATTTTCTTCTCACTCATGCTTCAGAGGCCTATTTGTCTTCAATTAGTTGTTGGAGGGCTATTGACAAAGCCAGCAGCAATTCCTCCCTGCCATGGACAATGTGTGCCCTTGCCATGCTGATGATGCTGGGTGTCGTGCCAGGAAGCCGCTGTCTGTCCAGTGTGCCTTGGGTCACTGTGTGTAATTATGCTGTAGGTATCGAATCAGTCTGTCTGGGAGAGGCAAGGTGTTAAGAAGTTTAATGCGGTTTCTTCCAACCAGGCTTCGTACCTTGATGCGGCAAAGATGGGAAAGAGGTCGTGGGGGCTCTGAAAGACAGGCAGGTCAGAAACATGAGCCAAACAGGTTTGAACTTGAGAGAGAAAGCTTGGCTTGGCTAAGTCAGTGGCAAGAGCAAAATGGGAGAAGGGGGAATGAAAAAAGGGGGCTTTTTCTATAATGGAGGGATTATATAACTTGCATTGGTGGCAGCTCATCTATACTGAGGCATATAGGACACACATAGGGAAGGAAGTGGGGCTGGAGAATGGTATGCTGTATCTCATCTCAGCCTCAGCAATGGGCTTTCTAGGGGGATTTAAACAATTTGCTTCCCAGTACCCAGCCTTTCCACTCAAAATAAATGTAATATGTACCAAATTTAGCTTGGTGCCAGAAAGCTAATTCTGATAATGCCTATGAAAGACTTTGGATCCTGAGGGAAAATATATTTAGGAAAGCAGGATATTAGTAAAGTCTTTAAAGGCCACTGATGTCTTCTGGGTTGCTGTGGAGATGGTCATGCTGCATAGCTGCCCTGATCTGACTGCACCCCAAGTGCAGCCCATGGCTCTCCTGCACTGACAATGCTCATTCCCAGACAGTCAGATCCACTGCTGGTGTACATTTAACATCACAGAGTTGGTGACACCCCAACAATTTCTAGTACTTCATGCCTGGTCTAAAATGTCATCTGATCTCAATAAAGAAATCCCATCAAGTTTAAGGGATGAATACTAATTTGGAGATGGTGACTAAGGGTTTGAATCCAAAACCAGGACTATTTGTGCCAGATTCTTCCCAGGGTGAACATACCTGCTTTTTCTTTAATGACAGCCCAGTCCTCATAACTGTCAATATGCTCCTTGAGCCGGGAACAGAGCTGCACATTACCCACATAATCCAGAAGAACATCGATGATTGGCCCAGCCCAGCGACTAATCTCTGGAGTAGACACCATTTCACAAAACTTCAAATTAAAACAGATTGACTACTGTTAGTGGGATATGAATGCACCCGTGGAAATTGTAACGATAGCAACTACCCCAATGTCTTTGGTGGTCCTATCCTACTACCAGCTAAGAGGGCAATTACCAGTTTCCCCTCAGAAAACTTCAACTAAAACTTCTTCTTATTTTGCACCTGAGGTTAGAATCCCCTCTTACAACCACAGCAGGACACAAATCCCTGGTGAAATCCTAGCTCTGGAGCATGGAATGGATACCAAGTTGTTCACAGGGTCCACAGGTCCTACTCCGCAAAAATGGGAAGGCAGAGAAGCTTTGTGCTAAACCAGTGAGAGAGCGACTGAGAGGTCTATGCAGCCCAGGGCACTGTGACCCAGTGTGCTGGTTTTCTTTAGCTTCTTGAGAGGGGTTCTGTGGGGCAACTTTCACAAAGGAGGCTTAGGTAAAGAGAGAAATTTGGCAAAGTACAGCACCTCCTGCTTCTTGTGAACCCACTAGTATCCGCAGCTTTTGGGAACCAAGCACCTTACTAGAAACAAGTCTGTGGAAACTGCATAGATGAATCCCTGGCATTTTTACTTACTCATGGAGAACTATCCTAGGCCTAATATAGAGGTGCCTTCCTTACTCAGTCCTGAATCAGGCAAATTTTCTGTTGCCCCCACTGTAAGCTGCAGAGTACTCAAAGTTGTTGCATGGAGGGCTGCTTATGGAGATACCAAAGAACAGATGTAAGGACCTGATTTTAAGCAGTCTCATTTAAAAGAAGCAGTCACTTCTCTTCCTGCTTTAATCTAAATATGTATATTTTTCCAGACAGCTTAATGTATCTCTGTTAGAGTGCTGCATATGATGAAGATATCTGCGGATGCATCTGCATGTGAGCAGCCAGAAAGTTTAACATGAATTAAATCATGCTGTGTGGATAAGAATGCAGACACATGGACAAACCTAAATGAATGATGGTGGCTTAAGCACCATCCATCAGCTTAGTCACGGAGACTGTCTGCACGCACCCTCCAAGCCCACCCTAAACAGGAAAGAAAATGCACCAGCTTAAACCTCTTTCAGTTTAAGCTCCTCTAACTAGATTAAATTTGATATGTATGAGCCCTAACTCAAAATGCATTAAACTTCCATGTGGATAATGTTATTCAGAAATAAAACCACATTAGCTCACCTAGGAAAGAATAAAGCTGCAGCAAATTATAAGGCAATTTTGTGGAAGGTAAGAGCATTCACAGAGGTGGTTACTACTCTTCTGACTTTTTATCTTTTTTTTTTTTTCCCCACTGGGCATCACCATGTATTTTCTCCCAGGAAAATTAGATACAGTAACATCAGGAGGATCCCAGCAAACAACCCAGTTTACAGTTTTACCTGAAATGTTTACAGGAAATCCAGTATAGTATATCTGGCTGTCATTCTCCAGTGCATGTGCCATTCACATGCAGTCACCCATAGGACATGCAAACTGGGGATCTGCACTACTACCTCCAAACAGTAACTCCACTTTGTCAGAGTTGAAATGAAGGCACATGTGTAAGGCAATAAACCACTGGATCTTATCTCTTCTTGCCTCTGCCAGAGTTTGCCTGTCTTTTTCTCTCTTCCCTGTTGACAAGCCCAGTCTACAGAAAAAAAATTTCTGAAATAAAAATGTTCCAAAACATGTTGCAGGAAAAGAAGCATAGCTAAACAGGGAAAAATAATTCAATCCTGCAACTACAGGCAGTGGAATTGATCAGGGACAGTGACTCAGAGCCTGCAGTCTCGATAGGCCCCTGAATGCCCTCTCGTGGCAGTAGAATAATTCACTCCCCACTTCCACGGTTTTGTCACTGCAACTGTGGAAATGTGGAGTGAGTCAGCAACCATTTTTCTGTGTTCACTTTCTCCAGGACACATTAATTTAGTAGCAACAGTAGTGATTTATAGTTACACATTTTTCAAATCGCTTCCAGTAGCTCATAGTCTTCACTGTATAAAGACTAATCATTCAGATTTATTATCCTTATGTAATCTTGTATAAGAAAATAATAAAAAAGAAAGCACATCTTTTGTCTCGAGAAGTCTATAGTTCCATAAGATCCTCTATACTTCAGAATACAAACCATATCACAACTATGTCATGAAGCTACACCACACAAGCCTTATTTTTGTTAGCCAAATTCCTAACATTGGGAAGCAAATTTAAAATTATATTGGAGGGAAGGAATTGCTTTTCTCTGTATGCATTTGTCCCTCACCAGTCTCTCTCTAGGCACATATATAATTTTATTATTTTATTAATTTTTCTGTGACAAAAATACGGTATGCTAAAGCAATCCTAAAGCTGTGACAAACACTCTCAAGGAGAAGTCAGCTCTTCAGGATAAGAGATTATTTTGATGGACTCTTACAATCTTCTTTCTAAGATTCCTTTTTGTTTGTTTCTCAGACATGTTACTGCAGAGTAAAGTTTTTTGGCAGCAGGGCTGATTAAAAGGTAGAGATTTTCTAGGATCTTTTAAAGTATTCTTTCATTCTTTCCACCACTGAGGAACATTTTTGGTGACTATCTCTTAAGGCAAATCACACTTTCTTCTAAATCCCTCAAAACTATACTTAAACGAGATAGAAGCTGATTTATTTCTTCCCTAATTCTTTGCAAAATAGAAAGATTGACGTGCTGAGATTTCTTTATCATGTTACAGGTTGAAGGGTAGCAAATTTTGATAGGAAGATCAGGTTTTGTTTGAGATATGTTGGAAGGAGTCAGTATACAGAGATCAGAAAAAAAGCGTAATCTTAGATTATAGAAAATCCTTTAGGGTATTGAGAATCCAATGGAAGATAAGCCCAGCTGCACTTTGGAAAGGATTGCAAAGATATATGTGTAAAGCTTGGATATTTAAAATCTGTAACTGGCCTTGAAATCATGGATCTAAATCTCCTAATCTCTTTTGAAAACTTCAAATATAATGCACAGTCATATAGCTAACAATTTACTCTCTCTCCAGGGCTGCCTATCCAGTAGAGTTTGAAATTACAACTATTTACATTCACTGGTTTACCTAGATGAAGTGAAGCACCAATTTTAATTTAGCCAGGAGCTTAAATTCCATATCAGACAAAACAAATCTTACAGGGCAAATAAACCAAGAAGCAAGTAGACTGCCCATATGTTACCACCCATATTCTACCACCTGTATGATATTGCCTGACATTCCTGGCACTTCAAATCCAGAGGAAAAAATTACTGTAGATCTGACAGCAAGGCTGTCAAGATGGCTGTAATTCACTGTAAGTTCAAGCTAGGGCCACAGTGGCTGTTGCCTACCATCCTGATGTCATTGAACATGGGCTTGAAATGTTCACAGACTGTTATTAAGCCTTTTTTCTGTAAATGAAGTAGGAATAAAAGCATCTTCTCTCACAGGAAAGATGGAATCAAAAAACACACTAAAGTTTCCAAGTTCCATGAGTAGGAGACACCCACAGAAGTACCAGTAGACCAGGCAGTGCTTACCTGAACTACAGTTGGCTCTTTGGAGAGTTGAGGATCATTAAGTCTGTCCCGTCTGTAATTTAAAGCAGGGTGCGGGCCATTTCCATACTGACACTCAAAACAGGAACCTGCATCACAGCCCAGATCCAGCAGATACTTCAGCACAGATAGGTACTTCATTGAAAACATGATGGTAGCTGGAAATGTGGTGGGGTGGCTTGATATATAGGCATCAATGTTTGCCCCATGGTCAAGGAGCAGTTTCATGGTCTTCAGGCAGCCATGGCGGATGGAGATGAGCAGTGGGTTAATAAGGTCAACATTGGGGTTGGCTCCAGCTTGCAGCAGGAGCTCTGTTGCGTAGATATTGTTGTTAAAAACAGCAAAATAGAGGGGGGTGGTGCGTCTGTCTTCGTAAAGGCAGGACCGTTCGTTGGACAGCGCAGTGTTAACATCATAGCCAGCATCGATCAGCTCTTCCAAGATGTCATCGTTGTTGCGTTCGGCCGCTAAATGCAAGGGGCTGATACCACTACGCTTGATGCGGGTGCGGCTGGTCACTGGGATCAGCATGGAGACAATCCTGCCGGGTGGAGAGTCAGTGTACAGCAGTGAGCTCCAGGGGATCCAGGGCATTTACAACCACACAGCAAATTTTAGCTCTTCATAGGAGAGAGCCTGCTAATTTGGCCACAGGAAAAACTCTCTCTGAGAGAAACCAGGGTGTGAAATTGAAACCCATCAGCTGTGTGACCCCTTCTTTCATGGAGGAAACAAGTGTTCTTGAAATTATCACCCAGTTCCTATGAGGTATTGGCAGCTACAGGGGCAGTTATGATGGAAGAGGCAATGTGCTGGCACTCACCTAATGCTGTTGTAACCTCTCTTAGGTGCCACAGCCAAATGGCAGACACCAGACCAGGATCCCCCAGACATTCTGCACCTTCATCACCATGCTGTGGGTAGGACTGGAGAAACAGGCACGGCCTGCAGGCCAAGGTGCCAGCAGACAGGCTGTATCTCCTGATCTCCCACCTCCATTGGGATTGCTGTATTGCTCCACAGAGAAGTGTGCCAACATAATTCACTGGAAGGTCTCATGGGTCACAGCCACAGCAAGAGGCTTGAGACTAGAAAGGGAGTGAAACCAAAGCTTGCTTTGCAGGATTGCACAAGGATAGACTACACATTTGGTTCCCAGGCCTCACCACCAAATTTTACAATTTGGTTATTACCCTGGATTCATCCACATCCTGGAGGTCCTCGCCACATGGCTTTTGGTTGTGGCAAATCCATGGGGCTATCAATGGCCATCCCAGATCACAGGGAGCCAAAAAGACAATTCAGAAAGAGGAGAAAAAGAAATGAAAAATATTTTCCAAGCTGGTTTCCATGCTTTAGCAGAGGGAGAAAACATGTACAGCCAAGTCTTAAACCCCAGTAATTAGGGATTGTTATTGGAAAATGTGATGTGGCCTTAAATACAGCAAAATAAATCAAGCTGCTCTCATGTAATGTGAAGTGCAAATATACGATGTACAGGAGCCCCACAGTTGCAAATCCATGATTGTTTTTATGTCTTTCTAGCTGTCATTGGAGCTGCATGACCAGCACCATGGGTTAAACCCTCACTTCCTGCTCATAAAGTTGGGTGGCTTTGCCAACAGGTTAGGTTGATATTTTAAGCACAGGTGAGTCACCTTAACCTACTTCCAGAAACAGACTGGGGACCATGCAACCTGAGTCTTCCTACTGTGTCAGGAGATGCCCATGCTCCTTATGTAATGCCGGTGGAGAGATGAATATCTAAAAAGGAATTTGTGAGACCAAGCTAACAAGCAAAGCACACCTTCTCCTCTTCTTCATCCCATGCAGACTCCTCTATCTAGCAATCAACAGTTCTAACACAAACATGCAAAGCTTATTTTTCTACCATGTAGTATGCCTCTTTTAAAATGCTGCATATCTTCAGCTTGACTGCAATGGCTGGTCTCAGCACTGGGACCTCAAACATACATTTACATAATGAACAAGCAAAATATAAGTGCTAGCCTTAGAAAAACCTTTGTCTGTGTGGATCCTGTGATCCTGTGAAAATGATCAAAAATGATCCTGTGAAAGACTGAGCCCCCAGAAGCTGAAATATGAGTTGAAGATGAAAAACACTTTACAGGATTATATTCTTATTTACGTGATGGACTGTTGATGTCTCCAAGTCACTTCTACATCTCATTTTTAAACAAAACGGCCTTTTAAAATATGTAAATATCTAAATACCTTGGGAAATTAAGTATTTCCCCCCTTCCCCCCCCCGCCCCCCAAGCAGCTTCACTAATCTAGTGCTGTGGTGCTCACCAGGGAGCAGGAGGTTTGGGTGCTGGTGAGCTGGCAACGTCCCACCATTAGCAAATATTCTGTAAGAGCCATAATAACAAAAAGGGCACAGAGCACTGTGAGGACACCATGCCAAGTACCAGCATTAGTCATCCCATGATCAACTGATTTGAAGATTTAAGGGTCTGTTTTGTTCTTTTGCTCCAGCATATGTACTTCAGCCAGCTCTTCACATCTGAGTTAAAGAGGCACTGAATCATTTCTGTCTACAATGGGGACCTGACCCTCACTGCAGGGGTGGCAAGCTAGGCTCTGAATCCAAATGCTGCAGTGTCCAGACCTCAGCACACTCCCTGTACCACACATTTATTTGTGGAGGAAAAGCAGGAAGCATCAAATATGTAATAGAGAGTAATTCTGTAGCTTGAACCTGTCTCTCTTGCTCATCCTCCAAAGTGGATTGGTTCAGAAATAATGGTGCCTCCACCTCTTCAGTCTTTCTCGTCTCACTAGGGAGAAGGCAGCTCAAGTGAAGGCAGCCAAGGCCAGACAAGCCAGACCACATCCCAGCTCTGTCACAGTACTGAGCTCCATGTACAGGTTTGAACTAGTGTTGAGTTTTCCCTTATTCCTGACACCTGTTTCTGTGATTTCTATTTGTTAGAAGTTATGTGGAGAAGGAGGCAGAGTATTCTTAGCATGAGTGTGTCAAGAGTCTAATGACTTGTATTTACTTAATAAATCTGCCCACACTTCATAAAGTCTTCCCTTCTCAGCATCTCAGTTTTGAGGGGTAAAGAGTTAAACTGACTGCTTGCGATTGTCTTACAGCTGATGAGATGACCCTTATGAATTTGAGGTCACTATTGACAAGGTGTCATTTAAAATAAACAAACACCATGCAACAAGAGTTGACAGTTGAGCCTTGGGACCACATTCATGGCTTTTTGATGGTAGGGAGCCTTTGTGTTCTAGCAAAAAGTTGAAGCATGGAATTCCTACAGAATTACATATTAAATCTGCAGGAATACAGAGGTCACTGTGAAGGGTATTTTACTGAATACCGAAAGAATTATGAATGATTAGCCAATTAGGCTAAAGCTTTGTCATTTAGATAAATATTTATAAGAGAAGATCCTATTTCTTTCTTTTGCACTTAGTTTGAAGCAGTTATAGACAAAAATCTGTGTTCAGTCTTTTACAGCTCAAGGAACTTGGAGTTTGTACTGAATTCTGATCTCATTTATGCTGCTGGGTTTTGGGAATAATAGATGTGAGGTCTGAATTAGACCCTTTCATAATATGGGGATGGCCTCAGATTGAAGAGTTTCCATGTATATTTCTTTTCAGGTCAGGATGTGGCACTACTGAGGGAAGGAAAAGATTCAAAGAGCTGGTCCTGACTCTTGTGTACAAATTGGATTCAGATCAACTTACTGTAGTTTCAGATGGATTTTTTTGGAAGTGAGCAACTGGGGCTGGGTACTGTCTTTGGCACATTTCTCATCTCAAATGTGTTTGTTTTCAAGAAAATGTCCTTGTAACTCAAACCCCTGAGAAAATTGTGAATCATGCCTGCATTAGTCTATGCATGGTATTCATGTACATGCTGTAAGCATATAAACTCATTACATAAATTCACACTGGGCTGTCCTCTAGAATACACAGCTTGCACAAAGAAGCAGGCTTACTCCAACTACAGAAAATTAATATCCTCATATCTATTAAAGTGACTTAAGAAGCTATATTGGGATTCCCAAGCAGACCTAAATGCTAGGATGAAAGATGCTATGGGAAGGTGTAGTGCTGTCAAAAGTTTTCATTCCTCAAACACTGTGAAATATATGAGAATCTGCTCTAACTGTTGTTTGCAAATATAGCTTTACTATTCAGAAACAGCCTTTGCAGTGGGATATACTTTTTTCTTTGATTATTGCTGAAAGGATATTTATAGAAACTGTGATAGTCAGAAGAGTTCACTACAGTCACCAAAAGGGTCTATCACCTCCAGACGTGACTGTGTTCTGCAAAAACAACTATGGTTGACTCACCCTTCCAGCAGTGAGGGATTAATCAGGAGATAAATTTGCCCTAAGATCAGAAGTAAATGCTCAGGAGTTCAGGCTCAGAAGCATGCTGCAATGTCCTAGGTCTTGAAAGAGCAAGGTAAACACTATTTACATGACTGTGCAACAATCCCATCCCTAAACAGCATCTTCTAAACTGATATTCTGTATCATGCACTGTATTGTTTCTCCACCTCCTATAAACACCTGTACTTCAGTGGAGTGGTAAATCTACCTAATTCACAGTTATGTTTTCCATTATTTACTTTCCTCACTGCTTAAAGAATGTGCTCAGCTCTATCCCAAATACATTAAATTTCAGAAACAAACCACTGGATCTTTTCATGCATTTAAGAGTCATTTAATAACTCAGTAGTAAAGTCTATTTTCCAGACCATGAGTACTTCTTTTACTTCTTTTCTGAAGCCTTTCCAATTTCCTGAAAGGTTTCTGAAAGGGAGGATACCAGAGCTGGACACCATATTCTAGCAACATTCTCACTAAGGCCCTAGAGATTCACTTAACCGCTTCCTGCTGTCAGCATCTGAATTATTGTCAATAAAACCTGAACAGAATAGAGATAAATGAAACATGTTCTGCTTGTGCAGAAGAATCACAACAGGCTCATGTAGGAAAATTGTTGTAAACTATCCTGCAATAGCTATTGAGGACTAACCCCACCCCCCGATGCTTTTTTATTCCATCTCAAACATATTTTGTGGAGCACAGCTTAATCCCCTTCCAAGATACATGATGTTATTTAACTGTAATTGATGATAACTTGGCAAAGCTAAATGAATCTTGCACCCACATTCCTGCTCACCCCATCCCAACCCACAATCACACTCATCAGTTTATAATTTTGAACCTGAGCTCTGCAAGCAGAAAACCCAGTTCTCAATTGGCAGCTCCTTTGCTTGCAATGCTCAGAATTAGCTGTGGGACATTACATTTTAATTTTCATGAGGATGTTTTATTCTTTTCTAAAAAAAACAAAAATATGAAATGAACTAAAACTTACTTGCAAATCCCTTTTTTGGCTGCTATGTGAAGAGGTAACAGGCCATCCTTGTTGGCTTTGTTAGCATCTGCTCCCTGGGATAAAAGAAACTCCACAATATGTACGTGTCCATTTTTACAAGCTTCGTAAAGAGCAGAGGCGTTATCGCTGGCTTGAGTATTTATATCAGCACCTAGGAAGAAAAAAAAATAATCTTAGTAAAACAAAAAGGTCAAAATCAGATGGAAATAACATACTTTGAATGAACATGTACATGTTCCTGCTCTGGCAGGGGGATTGGGCTAAATGATCTTTTGAGGTCCCTTCCAATCTCTAGCATACTGTGATACTGTGATACTGTGATCTCCATGACACTGAAGCTACTAAGTGTGGTGGAAAGAGATGTTATCGCAGATAATAGTTGTATCAGTTATGTAAAGTTCTACCATGGTTTTTCACTGACGTTAAATATGATGTGAATTTTATGAGGGAAAGTTTAACCCTGGGTGGAAGCCATTATGTCCCAGTCATGAATCCAAGCTCCATTCAGCATTAGGAAGAAATTCTTTATGATGAAGCTGGTGAGGCACTGGAACACATTGCCCCAAGGTGCTATGGATGCCCCATCCCTGGTGGTGTTCAAGGTCAGGTTTGATGGGGCTTTGAGCAACCTGGTCTAATGGAATGTGTCCCTGCCCACGGTAGTGGGGTTAGAACTAGATGATCTTTAAGGTCCCTTCCAACCCAAACTGTTCAATGATTGTAGGATTTTGGGGATCATTTTTTCTTGAGCTCTACTGTGTGCTTCTTGTAATAAACATGATACAACTACAAACCAAGACCTAATACTTCTTGACCACAAATAATTTGGAATCTAACTTTTTCTGTGTTAGATAATTATGGCCTGAAATCCTGGGTTTCAAATGTAATATAGTGTACCCTCATGTCCTCAGGAAGGCTGCTTTATGTGTATCCTAAATGGGAATGACAGTTCACTGGATTTTTGCTTCTGAACTCCAGTAAAGAAGCCAATCAGTCTCCTGTTCTATCATGAAAACTCCATGCCAAAGAGAACATTTCCTTGTGCTCTCACCCCAAACTGAAACCTATTGTGTTTGGCTCTTTGAAGATGTTGTAGCTGTGAACATCAGGGAAATTACTGTGACAAAACATAACATAGGACTATGTTCCTAATGAAAAAGAAATTAAAAAGAAATGCTTTTTATGATGAACATTGCTCATCATAAAAAAATGCAGTGATATCATTCCTGGGATTCTCTGAGTTTTTCAGGGCTTGAAAAAAATGGTTTTATTGGATTTTCTTCTGTGTATTTTTCTCAAAATTGAACTTTAAGGAAATCCTAATAGCTGTCTAAGCTGAAACTCAAATCACATTCTGCCTTAGTTCCTAAAACTGTGGGCAGTATGATAGACTAACTGGTCATATAAAACTGACTTGACAATGCCAGCTGGACATCAGAACACATTTTTTGTTCCCTAACCCTCATACCTTTCTTAGCCACACTGACTGCTTCAGAAGTTTTTCTTCATCAATGTTTAGCTCTTGTTCCACAAGTGCAGAACACAACTCTTACCTACGTTCAAGACATTAGTCCACAGCGAAAATAAAATATGCCTCAGAATAGTAGTGAAATCTGTTGTGCTTGTTGTAAAGCTGTTTTACATGAGTGGAGAAGTAAAAGTTAAGTTTAGTGTAAACTAGATTCAAAGTCACTGTTTATAAGTTTGAACACTTGGGGAGAGTTTCTGATTCTCTTTAGTGTTAATGCAAGAACTGTACAATAGTATTTAATTTATTTTCAGTAGGATTCATTAGTGGAGGACAGCTAACCTTGCCCATTACTGCGCATCTTCATGAGCAGATGGGGTTGGCTAATATTCAGCTTCTGCCACCTATTACCAGCTATAGCTGCCTTTTATGACTGATGAGGTTTTAGGCTACACATGTGCAGCAATATGGGTTTTGAAAACTGTCAGATATTGCAATTAGAGAGCTCCATATTACTTCTCAAAGTAGTTGACCTTGAATGAATGCTGAAGAAGTGCATATATCTAGACCACACTTTCTGAAAGCTTCTACACAATTCAGCCACCTGGAGCAACAGGGTTTCATCACCTATGCAGGCTCCTGTGACAGAAAAACTAAGACAGGGAGAATTATGGGAACTTTGAAATACTAAGAATTAAGTGCGCAAAGGCATGTAATAGCACAACTGTACTCACCACATTTTGCAAGGTATCTCAAAGCTTCCAACTGCCCACTCTCAGCTGCCACAAATAAAGAAGTGATCCCATAGGCATTTGCAGACTCAATCTTGGCACCCCCTTTCAAAAGTATATCAATAATCTCCAGGTCATTTCGGGAGACAGCCTCATGGAGAGCAGTCCATCCGCGATTGCAGCGATGGTTGGTGTCAGCATTGTACTGTACCAGAAGTCTTGCAGCCTCTGCATTCTTGCGCTCACAAGCTGTTTTGGAAAAAAAGGAAAGCAATTAGGAAGGCTTTTGAAAATATTCTGGATATTACGGTGTCCAGTTCATGTACCACAGTGGCAAGGCAATATATAATACAACTAGGCCATAGTGAGTAAGATCAAAGACTATCCTGAGCTAAAGGTATTTTCTTGATAATTAATAATATCTTATTGGGGTTTATTCTACCTATTTGTTCCATTGCTTTTGCAATCCCAAATCATGAGGTTTCTACACACCTTTCAGTGGGACCCCCAAACAAAGGTACCTAGAATAAGCAGCCACATTTTCAAACCCCAATTAGCATTTGTTGTGCAATGTACAGAAAGAAAGGCTAGCACATTCCGTAATGATTGTTGATTTTTTTATTGAAATAATAATTTTTTTCTCATGAGGTCCCATGATTTGGTTTTGACTATTCCCTTGGGATACTTCCACGGCTTCTTTTCCCATACACAGGAGTCACATGCACTGAAAACAACTTCATGATTAGATACTTCTGTAATTACCTATACACAGCTCTGCAGAATTTAATTTGCTTACATACTAGGGATAACTAATTTGTTATAACAATTTGTTATGATCATAGACCAGAAGATTTTACATCAAGACTAGTACATTCTTAGTAAGCTCTTCTCTGGCTAAAGGGTGATTTCATATTATTGCTCTTATTATTACTGAGTACTACTACTACTACTACCACTACTACGTGTTTAATGCATAGTTGAAAAGCTTTCCTGTAGCAGACTATAAGTGAGAATTTTGAAATGAAAGCATTTTAACCAGAGCCGCTCTAATGCCAGGTGTCTAGAATCAGAGGCCATTAGTTTTAATCATTCGTATGTGATTTTAATGTTTTAGAGTGCTAAAAATAGTCATGACATGAGCAGTCAGTGCATTGTCATCTCCTTCTCTGAATCTTTGTGATACCATGGATATAACGCTGTTCAGCTAAAGAAAGTACTCTTTCTGACCAACAGCAAAGTAACGTGTTCATGTTAAACACCAACTACCTCACTGAATTCCTTATAGCTTTATGCATCTTCCATAGCACACAGCCTGGCTTGGCCTACACAGTATCAGAATCACTGGCATATCTACAGTTACTGTACTCCCACATCTAACAGTGACTTAGGCCCTGCTGTTTAGAAAAGTATATGTATTTCCATACTGTCCAGCTTTCCATACATTTGGGACATTGTGCAGACACCCTGTGCTTAAACATCTCACAACTCATACCTCACTGATCTCAGCAGCAAATCGCAGCCTGCACCCTGCACCGTGCCACTGATACTGCCTCTGATGTGAATAAGAAGAAAAGCCATGACATAAGGTGTCAGACATAGGAGACAGAGGACTACAGGAGGGAGGTAGAAAATGGATGCTAATTGCTGAGCTTCAGCCCTACATTACAAGGTATCCTGCAGCTCTGCCTTGGTAGTGCCAGAAGAGCTCAGCATCCCTGGAAATTCAGCCACTCACCTTTGTAGAGTGGCGTTTCTCTGGCCTTGTTGGAGATGTCAGGCTCAGCCCCAGCCTGCAGCAGGGTAAGCAAGCAGTCCAGGTTGCCCCGGCTGGTGGCCAGGTAGAGAGCCGTCTCCTCATTGAGGGTGCGCTGGTCGATTGTGCTGGGGTACGCTGTGGAGAAACGGCCAGCCCAAAGTCATTGTGGCATGCAATACAGAAGTACCTGCAGCATCATCACTTTTCAAAATCCTTGGAGTTTTTAGTGGGGTTTTGTTGTTTATTTCTTTTCCTTTTCCATGAACAAAGCAAACTAAGAATATACTATAAAGGTACTATAACTGTGATTATGTACCTAAATCAGTCACCAGCTTAGAGTAAAATGTTCAGCTATGGCCACTAGTGATACCGAAAGTTATTAACTGCTCTTCAGTAGCACTTTCAAAACTACAGTGGCTAATCACTTTCAAGCACCAGAAAAGAGGTGCTGGGATGGATCTCCAGCTAGTGGGAAGTGGGGTAATTGCTGTCAGCTGTGGCAGCTGAGAAACTTACAACAGCCAAGAGCTCAGCTAAAGGCTTTACTGTGAGAAATAGAGAGCTTGGCAAGATCTATCCAGATATCACTTTCTCCTCAAGATCCTAACTTTAGAGGCTGCCGCCTGGAAACCTATGCTCAAAGAGAAGATGAAGTGAATGTATACTCAGAAAGGCTGAAAAAAAGCTTCACACAGTCCCAGATGAGGATTGGGCTGCTGTTAATTCTGCTTTTTAGTTAATTCATATACTTATTTTCTCTTTTATAAGTAATTAGTTTTAACTTCACTGACCTTTTTGCAACAGGCTCAGGCAACCCACTTGGCCATAGTATGCAGCTTCGTGGAGGGGTATCCAGCCGTCCTTATTCGGTTCAGAAAGATCTTTTCCTGATTTCATCATGTTTCTTACTGCTTTTTCATCTCCATTCTTGATTGCTGCCACTACAGGGTCAAGTTCTCTTTAAAACAAGATTAAAACTCGATTACTGCTTCATCGTTACTGAGAAGCTTTTGGCAGCAGCATCACTGTATCATTTGGCCCGAACACTGAACACCTACAGAATATACAATAAGTATTTGTTGCCCTAAGATGTCTTGCTACAGTGACTGTAGAGGTAAAATTTGAATTCTCTGATTTAGCCATTCACAATAGTTCAGAAGAACCACTGAAAGTGCTGATCTCTTGGAGTGTAAGGGAAGTTTAGGTTTAGGTGTGACTAATCTCTGACATAAACACACTTTAAATATCTGGAGTTGGGAGCTGTTAGCTCTAGAGTTGCTCTGTACACTGCCATGCGTGTCCATGGCTATGAAAATTATACCACCCTACCATTTGCTATCGCATGTAGCAAGGTGTTCCCATATGAGATCTCTTAAATAAGATCAGCTTTGAAGAGAACTGCCCCTGTTCATCCCTGAAGAAAATTTTAAATTTGATTTGCATGTGGCTAAGCCCTAAAGCAGAAGTTCTCAATAAATCTTATTCTTGTATTTTGAAGATACTTCCCATTTCTCTTACACAAGCCTGTTTTCAGAAGTTAGCCAGTCCAGTTATGAGGTAAGGAGAGGTCTGATTAGACTCTGTGAACATTAGGGTGTTGGTCTGGGCTCTCCTTTCTTCTGCCAAGGAGGATTAAAAGAACAAAAAGACCCCCCCAAATGAAATTCTGAGCTGCTCTTCATGACCATGCCCTAGTGATTGCCAGCTGTTATTTCAGCATTGAGTACTCCAATTTTCAGAAATTATAACTACTTCAGACATCATAGACCTTCAAAAATGTGTTGGACACTTCTGAAAATCTGCTTTTTAGGAGCCTGTTTGGGAGAAGACCCATTAGCTCTATTGACAAGACCACTCTTGTAAGACTCTTAACCAACTTAGCAGTTCCCCAAGTAACTACAACAGTCAGGGGCCTTTGAAACTGCAATGGGACCTGGTGCCAAGCTGTGAAGTGGTTCATGTTCCAGACTATTTGAACCCAGTAAACCCTTGTCAGGCTCCAGAGGGCCAAGTAACTTCTAGGTGCAAGGAGTAAAAGAAATGAAAAAATATTAGGGAGGGAGGGAATACTTTGAAACCTCTTCTGAGCAGAAAGTCATTGAAATGTGTAGAATCACTGAGAAGTGTTAAAACGGTATTTCAGTGTTTACCAGGGAAAATACAAATGACATCAAAGTCCTCTTTTTTTTTTTTTTTTTGGATGCTACCTAATTCTGAAGCTTTCAAGAACAGTCTCACTGTGAAAATCTATAAAAAAGCATGAAGCATGTTCCATGCCACCCAGAAGTGAGACACAATGAGCAGCTTACAAGTGAGCTTTGCTCTGACAAGCATTCCCTTTGCCAAGCGTACATTCTGCATAGTCTGGGCAGCAACCCATTTCTCCAAGCTGTGTAAGAGCAATTGCAGAGCAGGGCTGACATGGGCACACCAGTCCTTCTGTGCAGCAACAGTGAGAGCTGCTACCTGACAGTCACCATACCTCTGATCAGCAGTGGCTGAAGCAGGACCTGCCTTCTTGTTTGAACCCTGACTGAGACCACCATCAGCACAGAAGAGGCAGGGAGCTGGTATCCTGCAGCCAATGCAGGCAGGATCCTTGCCCATAGCAGTGGCAGACAGTAGCTCTGTGCATGGTGGCAGCTGTGCCTTCCAGCACTAGCATCTGCTGGTGCTCCTGCTGAGCTGTGCTGGGAGAAGGCAGCCAGTGCTTCCTTATTCTGAGGCACCACACAGCTAAGCTTCAGGACTGCAAACACCACAAGGAAGAAGTATATTTTTAAGTTCTAATGGGGACTTGTAGAAATGTAATGTGAGCTGCCTTTTCAGAGAAGAGTAAGATGCTGAAAACACTAGAGAGTTTGTGGTTTGAACTAACTCTAAAGAGAAAATTGTGCAGCCTTGAAGGTGGAGTGAATGGGGAGGGAGTTGTGTATCTCAGATTGGCATTGCCTGGATAGGAATACAGCATGGGATGAAGGTCATGCAGGGCAGTGACAATGGGAACAGTCAGGAACTCTGGTTGTGAAAGGTCTAAAATGACACAACAGTAAAATCAGATAGAAAAAGGTGGGCAGCTCAGCACAGGAGTCTTCAAAAAGCAGATCATTGACACAGCCTCTACAGTTAGTACAAGTTACAGGAGCAGCACTGTATTTCATTGCAGGGGCTGGAGAGACCAACAGCCTGAAACTCACACAGGCATCACTCATTTCAGCTTGCCCAGTGGAACCCAACCTGTGCCATAAACTGATACTAGCACTGAAAGTAGTCACCAAGCTGCTTCTCTGAGGATAAACTTGGGTCCTGGAGCAGAACAGGTGAGCACAACATGTGTGCCAAGGAATGGGAAAGACACCATTTCCCAGGTGAAAAAGTACATGGTGCCACTTGCTCCATATCTATAGCTGGAAGCAGTGATCTCAAGACAGCAAATTCACAAAAATAGCAGCACTGGAATGGGGATTGCTGTGGGACACAAAGGCAAGTATTTTGCCTGAGGAGATAGCTAGAGCAGGTAACTGCCTTCCTGTCCACAGCCCACCCAGGAAGAATCAACTGACCTTCTGATAGCAGCCAGGCAGAGGTCCTAGGGATGCTGCTGTATCTCCATATTATTTAGAGTGCCCTGGGGAATAAACCTAAAATTGCTAGTTTTATCTAAATAATAGATTTTTATACAATTTTGCAAAATTGAGCATTTTGTTGAAGTCAGTTAACAGCAACAATTGGCATGTTTGGCTGCAAGAGGAGGCAGGAGTGCGGGAGCTTCGTTTTCAAATGCCTCTGGCACAAGACTGCTAAAGCCATCTGCTGTTCTGTGCAAAGGTTCATGTTACACATGCAGGGCAGCACAGAGACCTCAGGATTTGGGCACATAATAGTTACCAGCACTTAAAGAGCTACTGCACGCCAGATGGGCCATGGCAGGAGTCTGTACATGGGGCTGACACACAGGAAGTGCAAGGTGAATCACCTTAGCTGAGAGCTCAGTGAAAGCAGAGTACTTCAGATGTGCGGTAGGGTTAAAAATGTGTGAATAATCAGTTACTATCTGCTTAAGCCCTTGGATGTTGAATGAAGCAAACTTCTGCCAGGCTCCTTGACCTTAAATGATCCCTGACTAAGATGAGGGGGTTTGCTGGACCAGGCTATAGATGCCTTAGCCAAGAAAATTCCACATCAGTATAGAAAGTTTAATGAATCCCTGTGAAATCCTTGTTTTCTGCCTGGTTCATAGTTGGCTGTTGTAAAACCAACACATTCTGCCACTTAGGTTTCATCAGATATAGAAAAAAAACAGTATTAAAACTATGGAGGAAGCCTGGAGTTCTGATGAAATCTTAATCTTAGAGGTGACTCAAAAGAATTACTACATTTCAAAGGCCAATAGCCAAGATAGTAAATACCCATTGTAGGTGAGATGCGTGGTGTGGTCAGTTCAGAATGCTGAGGAATACGTTCTGCGGACCACAGAAAGGTTAAGCAAGCTCCTTTTCCTAGCAGTCTGATGAGATGCAGGCAGCATGAAGGAACATCATCTCCCCAGGTGAAGCCAGCTATCATCCCTGTCTGGCTCTGAGACCAGGGCTATGAAACAGTTGTGCCATCATGCTTTCCTGTGGTCTCCCAGTCACAGTTTGATTTCACCTGGCAGAAGAAGAGGGCCAGCTTACCAGCCTTACACAAGCCTTCTTGTGGCTTGAACTCTACTGAGCTGCAAGGCAGAAAAAAGAGCCTTCCCTCTGGTCTTTGCAGGCAGAGCAGCAGAGGCATGCAAGATGTGCAGGACACTTAATAAGAAGATGTGATTTCAGTATGGTCAAGGGGAGCTGGCAGGTGACAGGGATGAGGGAGGCTTCATGTTCCAGTAGAACGAGGTTTTTCCAGTGTTAGGGAGGGGAAGGTCAGTGGAGAGTTAGGGACAGAGCCTGGATCAGCCGCAGTGCAGGCTGAGGTGGGGCTACTTTAGAGCTAGGTGAGGGATGAAAGGAAGAAGAGGGGTGGAGAGGTAGTTACTACAACCAGGCATCCAGGGAGGGACTTGTAAGATGGATAAAACAAAGTATATTTGAACTGGGTAGGGAACAGTTTTCTGCAGGACTCAAAGAAGTGCTGCCTACACCACTTTCCTCTATGCTAAAGGCAGGTGCATGCATCTACTCTGCCCTGCAGAGAATTGTAATAAACTCATCACGGTCCAAACTTTTCCATTACACACAGGCACTGGGGCAGAGCGTGGGCCACCCCCTTGCCTGTCTGCTCACCTCATCAATGTCTGTGTTCACGTAAGATTATCTGTGGTCTCTGCCAACAGAAAAACTTGGCCAGAAGGACTGAAGTCAGTCATACCCGTTTCCTCCTTGGGTAGGGAAGATGTAGTACACCCCTCTACTAGCCCTCCTCAGGGTGGCAGGACAGTGCAGGTATTGCTGGGAACAGGCATTGCATTTATAAAATATTTGCTTCAAAAGACTGGAATTTCTCACCCTGTTTATCTACTGCAATAAAATCTTGGGTTCCCGCACTCTTTGCCCATATTTGTACTGTGAACTTTACATTAATGTAGTAACTATCAGCACCTGCCTGCCTCATCTACTGTGTTGATATGGGAGCTAGCCTATATAAATAAACAGCACAGGCATCTCTTCCCTGTTGTCCCTGTCACCTCAGAGCTACCAAATGACCCAGAGTCCCAAGGACATGTGCACTGGAGAGAAAGAGGGATGAATAGGGAGACATCAACAAGGGAGGTTTGAGGTGGGTCACCAGTAACAGCCTAGGCATGATCCATGGCATCTGAGAGGTCAGAAGAAAGAGTGGAAAGGCATGTCTATTTCCCCCACCAAACACTTATCACCACCCAGAAGATCTAAGGGGGAGAGTGGGTAGCAAGGCTTGTTTTGACCACAGGGGAAGGCAGGAGAGGGAACGGGAGGCACTTACACGGGCTGGGATGTGCTGAAGAGGCTGCCGTCGTACCTTCGCCTGACTCCCCAGGCTGCCCCTGAGCTGGATGGCTGAGCTTGGCCCCTCGGCTGGGCTGCCAGTCTGGAGTGGCGATGACATGAATGAAACAAAGAGAAATACTCTGAATAGGAGAAACAGGTCATGTTGAGGCAGAAACAGAGACACACATCCACAGAGACAAAGTGAGAAAGCTGGCCGGTCAGGGCTTTGAACAAAAGCAGATGGCCACAGCTTGCTCTGCACTGGATTCAGCTGCTCGCTCAGCCTGAGTTTATTTTTGGCCCTCTGAGGAAGCGTCAGGGGATTCAAATGACCATATAAGACAACAGTGAGGTTAACCCTACCACCACCGCACAGGAAACAGGCACGAGGCGAGGTGAGGTGACATTCATCACCTCTGAAGTGCCACACAAGGAGGTTGGAGGTGGGGGTGGAGGAGGACCCAGGGTCCCCGGGTGACATTTCTGCTTCTAACTTGGCATTCCTAGGTGGCAGAAGAGTTCGAAACCACTACAGATATGGAGCTACGAGCTGCAGAGGTTTTCCCTGCAGCCAGAGATCAAATGCTGCTGGGCTGAGGCAAAAGCAGATGCTGCCTTTTGCCAGAATAGCAGGTGTCAGAGGACACCAAGGAGGACAGGACCAAACTGCCAGGGAAGCCCTTATTTCGTCTGCATCAGGTCCCTGTGGGAGAGCTGACAGCACAAGTGAATGGTAACAGCATACAGAAGCCATGACCTTTGGTGAGAGCAGGACTGCCTGTTGTACAGCATCCTGATTCTGCAGCTATGAAACACATCTACTACTCATCTAATTGTCCTGTTTCCCAGCCTTGGAAACCAAACAATCACAGGTGGTAATGACTGACGCAGCAGAGGTTGATGGAATTATGTGAAAGGATGAACAAAAACTTCAGTTACCCCCAGCTTATTTAAAAAAATTGGTTTAAAAATACACTTTTATTTGGTTTTGGAGTGACATTATAACCTCTTCCCCCCTCCCTTGAGAAATCTGCCCTTTAAAAAATGAAAGGAGAACAATGTCTGAGTTTGAAACTGTCAGCAGGGCTCTGCAACCCACAGCCCAGCATCGCAGGGGAGGGCATGCCGCAACACTTTGGTGTCTGGAGCAGCTCTTGGCTGAGAGTGGTGTGATTGAGGTCAGGCTCTGATCTAAAAGAACTACATCCTTTAAAGACTGCAGTGTCTAGAAGGTAGCCAGCTCACACGGGTTTATGTACCTGTTTTTGGCCTCTCCCCTGTGATTTCCCATAACAAGTCCTGTGCTCCATCTCTGGCAAAACCTAAGCTCAGTGTACCGTGTGTCCGTGGGGGAAAGGAGTCACTGGCTTCAGCAGGGCTGTCTGTCTTTCAGGGAAGCCTATAGCAGTGTCCCTTATTTTATTTGTTGCTTAAAACAGACAACATCAAGCAAATTCTCGTTTGCTGTGAGGGCGTAAACTGTTGACCTCATCGTATTTATAGCAGAGTCGGGCTTTCAAACTAATGACAGACTCGCAGAGCAGCCGCTCAGTAAAGTTAATTAGAAAGCACGTGTTTTGACAGGGGGAGCTGTTTTTCCTCGCTGCGCAGGGTGTTTGCTGGGATGGCACAGCTCGGTCAGGCGCTCACTCACCTCTGCCAAGGATAGATGTGGTAGTTTGGGTTGTGGCAGCTGGAGTGGGTGGGGGCAGCTGCCTCACCGGGACGTGCCACCATTGACTTCTGGTGAGCGTCTGGCTGACGCATGGGGTCCTCTCCCAGGCTCTGCTGGATGGCCATCTTTATGAGCTCGTCTTCACTCAGGCTGCTGTACAGACTGTATTCCTCACAGCCTATAGTTTGTCTTTGAGTGTTTGCTGCCGTTGCAGCCATTTTCTGTTTATTTTGCTTACCTGTAAAAGGAAATGATGATCGTCAAAATCTGGAAAATGTAAAGAACTCAACTATATTGTGCTTTTCTTCAGCTCCGCCTCTTGATTAGACTGACCAGAAAACCCCTCAGAAATCCTTCACCAGGGAAAGAACATTGTACTGTAAAACTTAATGAACTAACTCCTTTCTATCACACAAAAGTAACTGGGTCATCTTGCCAGCAAGACCGGTTTTTACTTACTTACTCTGGTTCTGATGGCTAAAGAGAAAAACAGGTAAAGGAAATCCCCACCAGATTTAAGACATACAGCTTTGAAATTATTTTATTTAGGAGAATGCCAATAGACATCTCTTTTGTTGTTTTGTTTGCTTTGATTTGGGTTTTTTTGGTGGATTTTGTGTGTCTTATTTTGTTTATTTCTCATTTTAATTGCAGAAAATTAAGGAAAGAGGTTTGTGTGTCTGCTGGTTTTCTGCAAGAGCAGGTTCTCCACGAAGTGCAAAGAGACTTAACAGAATAATTTTTTCCACCTTATCTGGAGATCTCTTGAGCAACATGCAGATCTATTCTTTGAAGTGACTGTTTCACTCAGCTAGGAGAACAACATCATACTGATGAGTTTCACTTCTGATTTTTTGCTTTTCACAGAACAATGTTCAAGGTCATGATCTTAGACTTAATAGATTCTCTTCTAAAAACTGGTGGTTGAGAGCTGGAAATGAGAGAAGGGGGAATTATCAGGGCACACTCAGCAGTTACAGAATGACTGTGAACCATCACCACAAGTGAGTCAAAAAGAGCAAGGGCAACCCAAAATACTGCAGTATTTCCAGCAGTAATAAGGAAGTATTAATGCCATGAATTGGATGGTGCTGTAGCAGGATCTTGTTTGGATGCTAGAGAGCACTCTGGTCACCAGAGTTCAAGAGCCAAAGTCTTATTTCATGGTAGGAGATGGAAAAGCTTGCCTCTGTTAATGGATGACAGCCAGGAAGGAGTAGGTTTGCTTTTTATGAGCACTGAATGAGAAATATGTAAACTGGAGAACAATGGGTACAAGCTGTGCAGGAGGACATGGGCAGGACAGGTGAGACCAGGCATCCAACAGAAGGGAACTGTGGAGGTATCTCCCCAGGTGCAGAGAGGAGAGGGGCACCAGTGGGGCTGCTGACAAAGCTGCCTGCTCTCCCTGGGGCTTTCAGTCCCTGCCCCTGCACACCCATGGGCAGGCAGAGCCACATGCATGAGGATGGCAGAGCCAAGCAGCCTGCCGCTGCTCAGCACCTGCCTCCCACCACACCAGCACTGATTCCCTTTCGCTGTGCAGGGGCTCTCTGCAGCAGACAGGGCTCTGACCTGGCTCACCCAGAGCCCAGGGCAGCCTGGCTTCCCAGGGACTCTCACCCACTTCGATGGCAGCAGGGTCCAGTCTGCCACAGGTCTCACACAGGAAATCACCCTGCTCTAGCAGTCCTTTCTGCTGCGTGCACATCCTGACCTGTAGGAAATGGCACTTCCCCAAATGGCAGTATCTATGTGTGTCAAGACACTTGTGTTTGTTGCTTTAATTATAATTTAAAAAGTAATAAAAGAAGGAACTAATACAGTTTTAAGAAATTGAAAGAGCTTGAATCAAGCCATAAGTAACTTAAGATCTTGGATTTAAGCTTTCCCCTTCAAAAATGGTAGTATCTCCCACATCAACAGCCACCTCAATGCTCCAAGCACTCCCCAGAAGTGGAAAAAGGGTAGAGAAGCCCAGCAGATTTCAGATTGACATTATGACTTTTAACAAAGGTTGTATTTTACAGCCATGGAAACTGCCAAATTAAAACCTTCCTTTGCTGTAAATAATACAACACAATTTTGTTGATTTTTCTTTTACTTCAGTCAGGTCTTTCCTGGCTGCTGCTGGCTCCCTTCTCCAGTAAGAGCTGGTGTGCCTCAGCTCTGCTATGACCCTTGCTGTCCCAGGGAGCCAAGCCCAGACGCCAAACTACTGATACCTCCTGCACGGAGCTGCTGCCTGCCCCGCACACCAGCTACTTCCATACCTGTCCTTGGCTGTGCTCCAGCCAGTGGCTGGGCAAGAACCTCGACACAGCTTTGTTGTCCCAGTAGCTCCTGCTGCTGCTTGGCTTGCTCAACTCTGGCATGCTGGGCAGCACAATGTCTATCAGCCTAGGTACTCACTTAGAAGGTGGTACGCTGCGGATGTGCGAAATCCACGGGCAGGAGTCAAAGAGCTTGTCTGCAGCATCCAGCCTCAGTGTAGGGACCTGGCCCCAGTGGTGACTCAGACACTAAACTAAGCAGTCAGTGGAAAGGGCAGGATCTGATAATAAGCTCCTAATGGAGGTGATGCACAATGACTCTTTGGAGGAGACAAGAGTGGAGATGCGACTGCTCCTCTCAGAGGGCAACCTGTACCTTTGCACCCTGGGACACAGATCCCTCCTCCTGATCCTCCCCAGACCCACCACTGGCATCCCAATGGCACAGGAGGCAGAGCAGGCAGTGGGTCCATCCTCACTGTGCTTCTGAGCTGGTGTCAGACTCCCTTTCTGGGCAATCAGGCCTGAGACCACTGCCAGCACAACTCCACAGTCTGGCACAGAGGAGATAATGGGTTAGCTGCATCACCAAATCCCCAGTGAAACTGGGTATAAAGGCCATTTCTGGACATCTTTCCCTCCCTCCTCCTTTTGTGTCAAACCTTGTTAAGGTATATGGAGGGAAAAGGAAGATTTTGAGTATGAGGGTCACTTGTATTTCACCCTCTTATCTTTGTACAGGTTAACTGGGTCCTACCCACTCAGAGAGAAAAGGGAGAAGCTCCCCTGCATGTTGGTGATTCTTGCTAAGCTAAATATTTTGACAGGAGTCCCACAAAGTGCAGAAACAACAGTGCTGGCTGCAGCTCTCACCACTGAGTCATCCTGCAGGGAGAAAATTTGAAGGGCCTAGAACAGAGAAAGCTCTCAGTTCTGCTCATCTAACTGGCACAGCCCCAGCGAATGTGTAAGGGTCACATCCTGGGGCTGCAGGAGCATTGAGCACTGAGAGCCAGGGACAGCCTTGACTGCCCTGAACCCTTGCAGAGACTGTTCTAGCTGGGTTTGAAGCCATTCCTTCACTCCATTCCTCAGCCAGACCTGTGTGGTATGCTTGAGTTTGGCTCCCTTGTGTGATGGCCCCAGTGGAGCAGAGCAGAGCAGAGCCATCACCCTTTCCTTCCACCTGGAGATGCTGTTGTTTGAAGCTGCAGAGCCACAGGGCTGAGGCACTGGTTAGTTATTTCTGTAGCAAGCCACGGTGAGCCAGCAGAGCTGTGGTGACAGGCAGAGCACATGCTCTCAGTTGGAGGCTGATGCAACACAGCCTCTTTCAGTTCAATCTTCTTTGACTGTGGCTAAGCTTGGTGGCATCCCCTGGCACTCCTGCAGCTGTCCAGACCTACCCTAGATCAGCTGACACAGCAGGGCTAAGGTTACCCCACCTGAGGCCAGTGCCAACCATGACTTTATGAGAGCCCACTACACTAATGTGCTATAAGTTAGATATTTTCCACCTTCTGTAATGAAGTTGTGAAAAAAAATCAGTCTTTCTTGCTAGGAATGGTTGAACCAGTTTGGATAAGTCAGATCTGGCCAAAGTGGTCTTTCTAAATGCACCTTGTATGTATTTGCTTACTCTAAGCCTGCTTACTGTAGGTTTAAAGTTCTGGAATCAGATTTATGAGTTAAATGCTGGGATTACTGTTCACCCTAACTTCAGGTTTTTCAGGGAGGTTTTAATGTTTGTCTGTCCCCTGCATTTCGGTGGCAGCCCAAGAGTCACACGCATGTAGCACACAGCATCCCATCTGCTGTAAGAGAACCTGAGTTTTAAAGCTGTGGGTATAATGCCTGTATTATTCCTTAGAGGTTGCTTTGACTTTAGTTCTGAATCACTTCACTAGTGATCTCTCTTGTCAGATACACGTCTTAGGATACTGCTGCCAGTGCTGCCATGTAATAGCTCAGTCTGACAGGATCTTCTGGATCTAAATTTACCATCATTTCCACATAGGGCCTGATCTTAATCTTGCCATCCTGAGTTCTGTCAGTTTGTTTATTTAGATGTAGAAACCAGACCTGTGTCATAAGGGGAAACTTGGCAGCATACAGTCACCAGAAGATAGGGTTAAAAATGAAATACTTGTTCCAGTGACAGGCTGCAATGCTCTGCCCTGTGTTAATTGAGCAGGGCAGAGCATGTACCTCTGAAACCAAAGCGTGATCTCTGAAACCAAAGGTACCACTCACCATGGTGACTACTAGTAACAACTCACATTATGGCAAAAGCCACAGACAAACACAAGTAGGTTGCTATTATATTTGGACTACAAGCTCTGTCAGCATACAGTGTTCAGGAGAATGGGCCTCTGATCCCTGATGCAACATAAACAACAAGGATTACAGCAGGCTTTGAACACGCAGGACCGAACTATTCAGTGCCATTAGCATCTGAAACAACTGGTCCCCACTGATAGCACTTCCTTAAAGAAAAGCTTATCAAGGCTGCCTGTCCTCCTTCAATATAACCAAGGCAGTAGAATTAGTAGAATTACTTATTGGTGTCAGAGGAGGGTGGCAGGTGAGTGACAAGGTCATTGAGGGAGCAGAGCCAGAGACTTTGCCTGCCTTTGCACTGGGTTTGCCCTAGTCAGCTTGTAACTCAATACAGGACCTCAGTATTTATGTCTCTGGGTGTGATAAACCACATTTCTAAAACCAAAACCAAGTCTTTGGAGACTGCACAAGAGAGAAAAGAGGAGCAGCTTACTCGGTTTGTCTTTTGCAAAGAATACCTGAGCCCCAGCTTCTGCAGATATGTGTTTGCTTTTCTATGTGTTTGCCTTCTGAAAGCAGCAGGAGCGTGCACAGACGGAAGGTAAACATGGCTGGAAGCCTTCACATTAAACCAAGCCTCAAATTCAGCTCTTACAGTGGCACCTTTCAGGCCAGATCTGCTGCTGGCAATGGAAACCAGACCAATTTACAGCACTTAAAGGACTCACATTTTTGCTGTATTTTAGGTTGGTTTCCAGATAAATCTTTGCAATTCTCCAAGGATATTGTGTTGCATAACTGCTACTGGGAAGCAAATGATTTTTTAAGAACAGGGATTTTCGTGCCCATCAGATCTGCCGGAGCTGAGGCATCAGAAGAATGACACCTCTTGCTGTCTGGCTACAGCAACAAGGCAAACATACTTTGTAATGACAGCTTATGCAAGCTGCTCAAGTTCTATCCCAGTACTGAAGGAGCAAAACCAAGCTTCCTGGAGGAATCCTCCAAGCAAACAAATTCCCTTGTTCAGCCCCAGCTGTCAAAACAGGTCACCTATCAGTCTGACATATATTATGATGCCATCAAATCATGATTCTGCATGAATTCTTTACTGGAAATGCACATATCCACAAGCTTTTATTGCTTCTCAGAAAGCACTAGTGCACACAGCAATCAGTGCAATATTAGCTTCATGCCGTTCCAACTGGAAACTTGTAAACGAAATCATTTGCTGATGTTATGTTTTTCCTTCACACTGTGCTTTGCACCCTAAGCTGTACCTTGGCATGTTGTAACTACAGCAATGATTTGTGAGCAGGCTATTCTAGGGACAAAGATATAAGCATCACCTGCAAATAAAATTAAAAGAAGGAAATGACAGAGCTACAATTCTGCTTAAAACCAGTGCATGTTTCATGGCTCATTTTGAAAAACATAAATAAAAAATCCCAAACCCAAACCAAAGGCAAGCCACAAAAAAACTCCCAAGATGGGTGCATGGTGTTAAGGTGTTAGGTTACGTACTGCTATACAAATAAATATTTGCATAGAAATAGCAAACGGACAGATTGAAAATGCTAAACAAGTTCAAAACATGCATATTTGCATTACCTTTTTGTTCTGAAATAAAAGGGTAATGATACTGTTGAAATGGGTTATCTTCTTGATTAAGTCTTAATTCAGAATATCCTTCCTTGTCTTCATCTCCCTGCTTTGCCTGGGTGTTTCAATCAACTGCAGGACAGCTTTGAAACAGTCTTGCTTTGAAGCCTGGTGTTTATTTCTGGATCACCCCATGATCAGTGAATACAAGCCAAAATTTAAGTTGTTCTGAATCTCAGATTTCCTGCTTGAAGATGCACGACAGAAACTTTTACCCATCCTAAAGTTCTTCTTTGTTGCATTATCTGAAGAACTTCACTTCATCAAGCATCCTGTAGCTAAGTGACACAAAGCTGACCTTTCTATTACATCATTATTTATTGTCCCTGACAAGTAGACCATATATGGACATGTTTCTGGAACCTAAAGAAAGAAAAAAAAAAATTGCCATATAATTTTGAGTTGTCCTGGAGAGTTTTATTTACTTGGGAAGAAGGGGGCTCCATTTACTTTTCTTTTAGCTGCTGATTGTTAAACAAAACAGCCAAACATTACATGGGTATGTACTGATGTTTTAGAGAGTGGTTTTTGTATTTTCGAGTCTCCAAGTTTGAGACTTAAGGATTCCAAAAGATGACAAAATCAGCTGTAAACCTGTTCCAAGTAGTATCTGTAAGGGTTTACTAGTGCTCTTATACCACATAAATGCAAACAACAGATCCTCTCTCAGACTCCTTGAGGCCATAAATGTGAAATGGTAGCCATATTCCCCACATCTAGCAGAGGGCAAGCTGGCCAAGGAAGAGATAGCATTCATCCAGGGGTAAGCTATAAGAAAACAGGCACATACAGGAGAACTGCCACTTGGATTAGTTGGAACGTGGGCGTAATACTGACTTTGGGAAGGTTATTTGCCAGCTATTATAATGAATGAAGAAAAACCATAATACAGTACCTGTATGCCTGTTTTTTCCCTCAGCTCCTGCTTCATTAATTCCTATGGCAAAACATAGCACATAAAAATAATAAGTCCTAGACTGCAATGGGTCTGGTTTCCTTTCCAAGTACCTTGTCAAGCCTCAGGTTAGCTGTACTCACGCTTTCAGTGCATAAACACCCCTAAGGCTTAGAAAGACCAATCTTGAAGGGAACCAATTTAGCAAGACTATATCATCCACTAATATATGATCCCTTCCAACTCACCTGCTTTGCTTGTAGGGTCTTTCAGTACCAGTGTCATTCCCTCTCCATGCTTGCTCCTTGATCCAACTTACTTTGGCATGACAGGATGGCCAGTACTGACTCGTCCCCTTTCTGTGCTGCCTGCGAAACCATCTGCTTCTTGTAACTAATGCTAGGGATGTTTTTTTGTCCAAAGTTAAGGACATTCAGCAGTTACTGCAGCAGGCAAAGAAGCCCTGGATGTCGTTACCAAGAGGGTGTGAAACTCTTACGCCCTTGACAATGTCAGCCAACCATCTCTGACTTTCAACCAGAACCCAGCACTTTTTTTTCCCTGATGTTACTTTAAGGTTGTAACCAGGCTTGGCTTAAAACCAGGAGTGAATACTCCCACATTTAACTCTTCTGCTTGCCTTTTGTTAGACTCTCATTGGATCCACACCCTTGGCATCCTTATGGCATGCTTGATGTCCCACTGAACTCAAGGAAAAATGCCAAAACCGTGATGCAGGTTCACGCAAGGGAGCCTTTGTCTCCCAGGATGAATCATTTGATTAGAAAAAAGATATGAGACTCAAGGCCCTATGGCTGTGAACGCTGCAGGTGATTCCCCATGCCATTCACACCAAGCACACTGCAACTCCCTTCCCTCCCACATTCCTGGGTTTCCTTGCAAAGCACTGTGCACCTCTGATGTATTTGGGGCCCTATGAATGCTGTTTACCATTTTCCAGTAAAAGCACAGGACTCCAGTAGATCTGTTTCCAGATACTGCTAGCTCTCCCTTTTGTCTTAAGTCAATCATTTAACTCCTCTGTGTCTCATTTTCTGCAGTAATGAAGTGGAAATAATCAAATGCATTAACTTCAGAAAAGAGTCCAACATTCCTTGCAGATGGAAGCCAATAACACTACTTGGATAGACATTGCCGAATAAGACCTTATTTAATTAGTATCTTTGAAATACTCAAAGGAAGACCTCATAGAATTTTGAAGTACAGAAAAATTACTATACAGGAATGAAATCATACATTTGGGAATTGATTTTTTTCCCAATAAAACAATGTCGTGTCTTTATTACAACACATTCAGAGCATAAAAATAACAATTATTATGATTTATTATCATTGTTTCAGATTTGCTAATATTTCCCCTGGGGCATGCATAGTTATAGATCTGCATTTTCAGCTTAACCCCAGGACAAAATGTCACCTGCAAAAATAAATACATAAATTTATATCATTTTCTGGACATTTCAAACTCAGACACTGCATATTAGATCTGTTTGCTTTCTCTTTAAATAGAAAATTATGGAAACAGCCAACCCATGCTGGTGGGGAGTTAGCTAGAGTCTCACAAACAGGTCATGGTAAAATATACTTGAATATGAGAGAAGACAAAGAAGGACAAACCTGTGAAAACAACAAATGGAGAAATGAACAGCAAGATTCACTTTATTCTTCGTGTTTCCCCCAAATAGACAGCAGAAGCCATGTTAGGAAATAACATTTAACATTTCCTTCATTTTTTGATTTTTTCAGTCTCTACCTCCATTAGTTGAATTAAGAGGCCCCTCAGCTCTACTGAGCTGCGCAACTGAATCAGGCAACTGAGACTGGTGAAAAAAACAAATTCATTTGTGCACCTGGGAGACTGAAGAGCTTGTTACAGACTCATTCTATGTCAAGCTGCCACAAATATGCCCTCATGTGATGAAATGCAGGTGAGAATGCCATTAGCACAAACTATATTTTTTATCCATAGCCTATATAACTATCAGTGGTAACTAACTCTACTGAATCCAAACACTTGGCTCAAGCATGGCTGTTCTGAAAGGAAGAAAATAGTGATTAATTCTGACAGTAACAGTCCCTGGACAGAAAATCCTCATGATACTCTGCCACAGAACAGCGTACTGCTTTGTGCACCAGTTACCTGGAACTCTTGTTAGTTGTATGTTGCCTGAACTTCTTTATTGCAGAAAGACAGCAAGATGTTTTGTGGCGTATTTTACTAAGAGCACAGACCTATGACACACACCTCTGTACTTTTGCCATCATATTCTGCTTCCATCAGATGCTCCCAAGATTAAACACAAACACCAGAACCAAAAGGTACTCTCCTGTGCCTCCTGCTACACAACCCACGTTTAAACGAGAAGATAGAAACTCCCACAGGAGAAGATGGTTTCAATTTCCTTTGCAAGAATTAATGATTACTTTGGCCACAGTACTCTGAGAGAGGCAAGAAGCCAGAGGCACTTGTATGGGAAAAGATGCAGGATGTCACACGTGCCCAGGGGTAAGGAATACAATATACACTATTTCTTGCTGACTCTGCTGCCCAAGTAGTTCAGTGCTGGAAACAGGTAGGTGTTTTGAGATGTCTCTACTAAGAACATAATTCCCTTTACAGGAGGAATTCATCCCACTAACGGCTGCTCACTCACATCCCAAATCAGGGTGGACTGCAGCTCAGTGTATGACTTCCACCTCTGCACAGTGGTTTCTTGCAGATAATGTTTATCTTTCAGATACAATCAAAATGGAGTCCTCTCTCCTTTGGAAATATGACATGAGCACAAAGGGGATCACACAGTATCCACATCCTAAGCCCCATTTCAGGTATGTGATGACTCAACCCAGACCTGCCCTTATAGTGAGCTTTGGAAGAGGGCACAGCTACTGCAGTCACTGCCTTTCCGCAAATCTCATCATAAGGTCACATCCACTGACTCAAACTGAAAGAGGAATCAGTCAAAGGGAACATGAAATGCTAATATGAAGTGAATACAACCCAAAGACTGTACAAACAAATGCTCATTCTTTGGAGAAAGAAGAGAAGCATAAACATTACCATTTAGCTACATTTTGCAGTGCAAATATCATTTATCTTATGTTATAATGTATGTTAGTAAGAATTCTAATGAAAGATTTGTCTTTTTCTTGACCTTTACAAAATCCACAAAATTCAGAGAAGCTGCTGCAACCCTTGGTTGCTCCAAGGCTTTTGCAGGGGAGCACGAGGATGAGAATGGCAACAGGAGACACAAGCTTCTGTAAACAGCAAATGTCCTGGAAAAAGCAGCAACTCCAAAACAACGATAGAAAAGTAAAATCAGTTCTGATGGGAAACAACCTTTCCACATTTTTATTAAAGCAGTTTTTGGAAACATACAAGGAGTCTTTACCCCTCCGTTCAACCCCTCAGGCTAGTTTATGGACAAAATCTCTTTTAATGCATTTCTCTGGTACCCTCTAATTCCTTTACAACTGATTTGTTTCTAACTATTGGGCCTGCTGTTTGCAATAAGATCTGTTGCATTGCTTTCTAGATAGTGATCTGTTTTGCTTTACTATTGCCACAGATAAACAAGCCTCAAAAAATAAAAGATGCCCCTGCTAAAATTCAGCAGCTTCTGAAATGGCCATTACTTGGAGCACAATGAAGTTCAAGGAATTATGACTTTCTACATACCTCTATACTTGGAGTTAAACTAATGCTAATAGGTGCTACCAGAGTGGCAAGGCAGAGCAGGACCTTCCTGTGCACAGACCCAGGGACAAGTGGTTGGTTTTGATTCCTGAGACATGGCTCCAGCCTGGCATGGGATGAATGCTGAAAGTGGCTTCTCGCCACCCAAACTGGATGTGGATTTGCTTCCACGGGGCTCAGAAACTCAAAGCAGGGGCTCAAGCTGTGATCCGTGCTGACTCCTGCCATGCCATGCTGGCCTCCCGCAAATGAGCTGGCCAGGCCTGCAATATCATCAGCTGCTGTGCAGACAAGAGCAGTGAAAGAACCAGAATGGACTGTGCTAAAGGACACTGAACTATCAACTCTATTTGGCCAGTGCTGTTTTTGCTGTGCAGCCAAATTATATGTAATAAATACAGTTTCTGAAGCCCTAATCAAATGAACCATTATTTATACTGTTACTGAGAAAGCTTTGTTGTTCTGCACTGACTGCTTTGAGCATGAATAAGAGAGGACCAGAGGTTTATATCTCCTTTAAGTTCAAATCATAATGCAATAGGTTTGTTTTGCAGGGCTGACATTTAATTATTATGCTCTACATCTATCAGGTTAAATTTAGATCGAAATTTAGGACAAGTGTCTGGACAGAATGTCATGATACCAGTGTATATCTGTTGCACAACATGCCATACAAATGTGTAATGCTCAACTCAGTTAAAAATAACCATACACTTACCTAATTGAGCAGGCTTCTGGACTCTACTGAGCTGGTAAGCAGTCAGTACAATAATAAGAGTTCAGAAATATACTGAGGGAAGAGCTATCACTGGAGGTCAGGAGTAAGAAGACAGAAAAAAAAATAAATCTTTTTCTGTATTTGTTCTATCTTTTTGTTTTGTGTCAAGTAGTAATTACTGTCCCATAGCAATATATGTGTGACAGTCTAAATTATAGTAAAAATTGGTGTGACTGTGAAAACAATTTTAGAGTTTTTTCCCACCAAAGTAACAGATCTCTGATTCCTCAAAAGCAGAGTTAAATGGCTGCTAAAACTCTCACCCTTAGCCTAGAAAAGGACAGATTCTTGCCCAGCTATGAAGTAGCTTGCTACATACAGGGTTTCCTCAGCTACAACAGAGCTAGATGACACCAGCCAGGATGGCTTAGGCAGAGAGACTCAGATCTTCAAACTAAGCATCATTAGCTTCCAGAGCTGTGTT